AACAAACAATCGAGAGTATGTACTAGAATGTTTGAATATAATGTTTCTTACTTAGTAGTTAACATTAAACTTACCCAGAGTGACTAGTCCTATACATGAGCTGATCATTCCACTCAAACATAAAGGGTGTTAAACTTAAGATATCACCAGACCTACTATTGGAGGATACTGCTGTCTAGATACACTCTTGCACAACATGCTGTATTACAGTCACATATCCAAAGGGTAGAATAGGTGTTATCTCCAGAGAATGACAAACGAACAAAGGCAGTTAGAGCTAAGCCAACCTAACTTTCTTAATCACATGTTGTGAGAGGATAAGGAAGTAGAAAACACATGGTATGTTTATATAACAAAATGTTATAAGAAATTATAATTATTACATTTTCATAGTATTGATACATCAATAATTAATTTATTTATTTTACCACCAAAATGATGCATTTGTATATAAAGTGTGAGACAGAGTAAAAATATTTTGGGTTAATGATACTTCTAAAATCAACAACCATTATTGTTGCATTAAATGTGAGGTGAATAGTTGATACTTTTATTAAATTGGTCAAAAAAGTCACTGTTACTGCAGACCATTTTTAACAATAAATCACATGGATAAAGCTGTTTAATACTCACTTTACAATCACAATAAACTAATTTTATATAAATAGATGATAATGACTTCATCACTTCACAAATAACAAACAACAGCAAAAAATAACAAAAATACTATAATTAAACTTAGATATTCTTGAAACGTGAATATCTATATCATAAATACCTTAATGAAAAACTAATAAAACTTTTTTTTTAACTTTCACTGAAGACTGTTAGTGCATTTTAAAACTTCACAACTCTCATAAATAGGGGATTTAAAAAGTTATTAACCTTAATTGCATTTAAGCACAAAGAAGGTTTAGTATTTGTTGATTTCTTTACAGCAATGTCGGCCACCTCTACAAAATGCTCCCGGCTTAGTTCTTATACTGCTGGAATGATTAGTTGTTTGTTTTAGTAAGCAAAAAGATACACAGTGGATTATGTGTGCTGTGTCCACCATTAGGAATCAAATCTCGGATTTTAGTGTTATAAGCTTTTTATCTTACTGCTGAGCCATTGGGAGATGCTGGAGTGAAAATAAACAAAAATTCTAAATGCTTATTAAGACCTGCATATTTAAGCAAAAATGGCAGATTTCTTAAGGTACTTATATTTTACAGAATCTAATAAGCTGTATTATTCTTTTTCAACTGTATTGTTATAACTTTGTTCTTTCATCGATTGATTTTTTTATAATTTTGTGGTGAAAATATTTCAACATTCAACCCATGTAACAATAATGATTTAGTTAATTTCCTCATTTATGTTTTACAAGCTTAAACACTGTGGTTACTTGTACATTTACAAATAACAATAACTGCACTTTACTAATGTAAATAATAAACCTACTTGTACAACTTTACGACTGAAAAGAATAATAAAAAAAACATAAACGATTCACTCCACTGGCTAGAAACAACTCACTATCTTCTTAACTATCTTTTTCCAGCCTCGTATTTGTAATATATTCTTATATTATAATATATTATAAGACACTAATAAGACATAATTTTCAGGAATTAAATTAATATTGGTAATACGTTCGTGTGTTTTTCTTACAGGAAAACCCCTTCGGGCTATCTGCTGTGTCCATCCAAGGTAATCGAACCCCTGAGTTTAGCGTTGTAAATCCGTAGACTTACCGGACCAGTATGTTGGTACACAGTACATTTACATGTAAATGTGTGTTGTAAATGACCCAGCTGAATCAGGCGTAAATATGTAAACAACAATACTTAGGTACATGGGTCCAGGTTTACTTCGTTCGTTTGTTTGTTTTGAATTTCGCGCAAAGCTACACGAGAGCTATCTGCGTTAGCTGTCCCTAATTTAGCAGTGTAAGACTAGAGGGAAGGCAGCTTGACATCACAACCCACCGCCAACTCTTGGGCTAATCTTTTCCCAACGAATAATGGGGTTGAC